GAAAAGCACAGAAACGCAGTTAGACTTACTTTCTCCGTCGCGTGCAGACAAAATGGCGTAATCGCCCCACAAGGCAGAAGCAGTGTTGCCAACTAATTTTCTTGGGAAGTTGCTAAAGGAAGGTTGATTTGTTGCTAAAAGTTGCTAAATTATGTTGTGATGTCATTGCGCAATGACGTCATCACGTAATCAAGATGCAAAATTGTCACTGCATCAAATCTCAGCAAAAAATATATTTTATGTTAATTTCGATTTGTTCGTTCAATAATATTAATGCATAATATAATAATATAAAAATATAAATAACTATTTTTAAATACAATATTGAATTATTGAACACGTACACATTTTTTTTAAATTACAATTTGTTTTTTATTAACATTTTATTTTTTTATTAGCTATTTTTTATTTAAGTTTTTATTAAACTAGTAAAACTACACATTCTGAACAACGCTGTTTTAAGCAGTGTATTAGTAGTTTGTTAGTATGCTACACTACAGACACAGAAAAGTCTGTAAAAATAGTCTACTATATGAAGGAATTTTCCGTATTGATTTTTCACAGGTTTTTTACCTGCATTTTAAATTACGCATTGTATTTTGTGTTTTCGGTTTACAGGGTTACAATGGATAATGGATAACGGACAAATTCCTGGAAAATTACTACCTTTTCCATTTTTCTAGAACAACTGATCAACAATCACAGGTACAAGCTACTAACAAGGTGTATCACATCACGTGAATTAAGTTAACTGCTGTTTGCAATTGTTCAATAATAATTAGGTGTGTTTGACATCAAAGCACCGCGAGATCCGTCTGCTCTCTATTCTATTAGCTCTCGCGGTGCTTTGATGTCATACACCGATCGGTCTGCGCAGCGCCGCTTCAAGTCGAACACACCTAATTATTATTGAACAATTGCAAACAGCAGTTAACTTAATTCACGTGATGTATGTACTGCTAGGTATCTTTGGTTTCCTCTTTTTGTCTAATTTAGATGGAAAATGTGTGCCTTTTTATGTTCAAGTCACTTATCAAAAGTTGCCAAATAATAATAAATAAATAAAAATAGCTACATTTGTTGCTAGGTGCTTTTGGAAGAAAAAGTTGCTAGGGTAATCTGAAAAGTTGCTAAATCTAGCAACAAAATTGCTAAATTGGCAACACTGGGCAGAAGTCGTTGAGGGTGGAGTCAAGACAATTTGGCGCATCTTTTTGCACTTTTAGTGTAAAATAAAATCACATCATGTTGCACCCTGCAACTACACAGACAGGGTGTACTCATCAACACTGTAGATTGTTAATTCAACATTTTGGGAATTATTAACATTTAACACTGCATGTTTTACACTGGTGATTTTACTGTGTGCACTTGTGATCGATATGATACCTCTTCATTCACTGCTACAAATTGATGGCGGTCAGATAAGTACGATTTGAACCATGCTAATGCACTTCCATTAATGCCAACAAAGTTTTCTAGTTTATTCAAGAGAATGTTGTATAGAGAGATACAACCACGGTCAGATGATAAGAGCAGGTCATTTGTAACTCTAATTAGAGCAGTCGCGAGAGAATGCTTTTGATGATCTGTGTGCTTTTTTTGAAGGGGCAAGTGAAAGAGAATTTTACTTGCCCGACCGGACAACTAATCTAATCTTATTAAAACATCGAATTAGGGAAGCACCAAAATTTCGGCGAGAATGATTCTGATTTTATTACACTTGGTGTAAACGGCAATTCATAATGGATAATCAATCGTAACAAGGTCGCGGCAGTTGAGACTCACGTGAGACAATCTCATGGAGAAATCGAAACAAATGAACAACTGCACACAGAAGACTGTGTACTGCGGTAAAAAAAAAATAGTTTTTATATTTATTACATAAAGCCTAGCGTAATTAATTAACATGACACAACTAAGAGAGTGCAGTTTTCCCCGAAAATCAGTACGATTGTAAATTCGACATTGATTTTAAACAAGACTTCAAACGAGTAGTTAATATTAAGTGACTTAGGGCATACATTTTAGTACAATAATGTCAATGTGACTGTTTTTGCTCGATTTGTTTAACGAAAATAGTTCCAAACAAACTTAGCAGCAGAACTGTCGCACATCTCTGAGCAACACCGTCAGCGGTGATTTGTTAGGCTACTGAATGATTCGAATTTTTGAATTAATAATTTGAGTCAATGAAGTTCATAAAGTCATTACTGCTGTGCTGTTGGGAAATGTCATCACCTGTTGATGCTTTATTTTTCGTTAATTTAGCCACTGTACTAAGGGGGTTATGATTGTTTTCTTCTAAAAGAGACGAAAAGTAATCAGATTAGGGATGTCTTTCCGGGCTGCTCTCTTTAGTGTGCGAGTGTGCTCATTATACCACAGTGTCAGACTGCTTTCCTTAATCTTCCTTAAGCGTAAAGGAGCAACCGTATCTAAAATGCTAGAAAAGAGAGAGTCCATAGTTTCTGTTACATCATCCAGTTGTTCTGAGGTATTGGATATGCTAAGGAATATTGGATATTACTTACAAAGCAGTCTTTTGTGGTAGAAGTGATGGTTCTACCATACTTGTAAGGAGAACCATCATGTAAGGAGTAGAATTTACAGTTTTAGCTATATGAAGTTTGTGTGTGTGTGTGTGTGTGTGTGTCATGTTAATCAGACTAATCACCTTATAGGCTACTTCATTTACTTGATTTTCTAACTCAATAGCTCTCAAATGTAACCCATTGTAGAATCGCTGCTGTCTCTTTATGAGTGAATGGAATATTCATGCCAGACAATGCGGAGTGATAAATAACAGTGAACGTTTGGACTAGGGGTGTCCTGGGATTTTAGTGCTATAGGCTACGTGCTCTATAGTGAGATTGGCGGGCAAAGGTAACCTGATGTAACTTTTTTTTAGCTTCTCCCAACTGCCTTTATCTTCACGTTTTTTGCTTTCCATCACGAGCCCACTCTCCTTCGCATCAGTTTCGGTTTCTTATAAGCATTAAGCAAAAATAGATTGCATTTGTCGGCCGTCAACGTCACTTAATCTGACACTTTTTTCTATGAAGATGAACCAGCAGGCTGACGGCCGTCTGACTTCTCCAGAATGTCCAGATGGCCAGTCCGCCCCTGCCCATATTCTTTTTATACTTTGCTTTTCACTGTGAAACAGAGCACGCGCCGGGAGAGCCAGCTGACGACGTCGATTGTCTTCCATTTGTTTATCTCCTCTAGTCACGTTTGATCTCGCAAGATAAAATTGGTTAAGATTTGAAAATCATCTAGTGTGCGGCCAGCTTTACTGAGGATGGATTGTCTCCTGTTGCTAATGCAGTTACACCAAGTTCCACAGCTAATACTCATTACTCTTTAATGGATATGGAGTTAACAGGAGAAGCAGCTTTAATTCCTCCTATTGTCACGGTTTGTCAAGGGAGGACCCAAACGCAGAATGAACAGGGGAAACAGAGTTTATTAACAAAATGGGAACACAAGAGGACGAGGCAGGAAGACAGTCCACACAATGGGCCAGAGCACACATCAGGAGAACAGGCAGGTCGGGGATGGGGTAGCTCCTGACTCCGAGGCAAAAGGAGACTAGGTAGCTCCTCAAGGAACCACAGGCTAGGCCTAGAAGATGGTAACACATGAAGCACAAAAATGCCTGACAGGTCAGAAGACTCTTCACATCGACCAGGGAGGACTCAGGAAACAGGGCAGGAACCAACTCGACAAACACACAGACAAGGCAACAGGGGAGACAAGAGATAAACACCGATCCAAAGAAAGAACTTACAAATAAATGACTAGAGGGGATAAACAAGAAATAAAACAAAGGGGGAAAAAAGTAATAAAATAAGTTCTAGAAATATTTAACTGAGACTTATGAAAACAGAGGATAACAAAAGGGAAAAAGCTGAGAATAAATTACTAGAACTAATCAAAAGGTTAATTACTAAAAAATAAAGCACTAAACCACAAGTCTAGAACTAGGTTATTAACTATACTCAGGAACAAATAAAAACTAGAATTTAACAGGAGGAAAAAAAACAAAACCAGGCTGGATGCAAAACACTGAAAGCAAAGACCAGAAAGGAAATGAGCACAATATAAAGGGATCAGAGCACACGAGGATCAGGTGAACACAATTGGACAAACAAGGACTAAACAAGGGGGCGTGGTGATTGAAAATGAGGAGGCAGGACAAGAGGAGCACATGGCCAACACAAACAAAGACACAGCCATGTGCTCAGGCACAAAATAAACAAAGACACA